ATCCGTCGAATTCGAAAATCCGATTTCCATTGCGAACTTATACGAAGAAGACGCCTGGCTATACGGTAGCCGACGAATTGACGCGCTTTTGCAACGGACTCTTCGATTAAGTCCCCGCCAGCTGGTACTACCCTCGTTTTTTAAATGACGATATAAATACGGAGGCGCGAAAAAACGTAGGCAGTAGTTCGACGTGTTAGTGGAGGCAACAAATTGGACCATGAGAGTTTTTGTGGTACGTATTGTGCAATGTCTTTTAAGTGAAACTAACCAATCGCGAGAACTGAGAATATCAACCAGGGGATAGTAAAATCGCACAAATATGAAGAATTAACCTGCGTATAGAAATAGAACAACAACAATTTATAAATACATTGGCATGAGTGTACACACGATGCAATTTTTTGGTGAAATTTTGTTTTTAAAATGTTGTTTTTCAAATTTGTGACAATGACAGATACAGTTTAGCGTTTTTGGTGATAAAGGGCTAAGCTTCATGCAAAAATGTTTCTAATGTGAGTGTCTAAGGAAAATCTATAACCCCGATAGTAGAAACGAGAGAAATGGGGAATGTTCGTTTGAGTGTCGAATAAAATCGAATATATACTAATTATATTAATGTATATATTCTCCAAGACTAATTTCTGCACAATTCTCTTACATTTAGGGTTACTAATTTAGGTTATACATTAAAATACAGTTTTTTTTTAAACAAATTGTTTATTGACTTGTTTTATAATAGTTTTTAATTGTCGTGCTTACATTTTGCAATACACACCTTTTATAATCATATATTTGTGATGCGAAACATCTGCAATTTATAGACTTGTCTGCAGTTGCTTTTTGAACATTTTTCTCACTCACTCATCTCATAAAATCGAATTTATACTTTTAAGAATCATCTTTCTTGATTTCGACTTTATTTGCATTGTTCATTCGGAAAAAGGTAGCTGAGATTTTTATCTGACGAATTTCTTGCAGTTTGGTAGCAGTCGCTTGTAGACATGTAGAAATAGATCGCATCTACCAGACTTAAATTTCATAAAATACAATTTAGATGAATTTAGAATTGTTCCAAGTCAAATGTATGGCCTAATAAGAAAATATCTCTTTTATTTAATTTAATTTGTAATTAAGCACAACTTAAAATTTGGAAACAATGATTCTAAACAAGGTATATTAAAAAACTCCAATATTTATTAAAAATCAGATCAATTTTTTTTGAGTTTCATGATAGAGTTTTTTTGGATATTTTTTTTAGTACTTTAAATATCCTAATGACTAAAACCTTTTATCACTGCTTTTAAATCAGTTGCCTAGTACACTTGCATAATTTCCCGCCAAGTATTTAGTTAGTTTCTCTGGTTCAGTGGCTGAGTTGAAAGGAGAGAGAGCATATACAGCATTAGCATAGCAGGAACTAACCAAAACCAAAAGTTTATTCAGTCTGGTCGTTTAAGTGTGCAACATATATGGTAATTTCTTTCGTTTTTTTTTTAATCAGTTTTTTTGCTCGATCAGTGCATGTCTTAGACTAGGCAGTAGGAAAAATATTTTTTTAATTGTTTAATTTTAATTTGAACTTGCCTTAGTTTGTAATGATATAAATGTGTTTTACTTAGTATGTCGATTTTTACCGTAAGGCAAACAGTTCTAAGGAAATACGTAAATCTATTTCCACAGCCTTTGCTTTGACATTGCGTTGAAAAAATGGCGAATTGTAAGTGGTGTTATTAGAGCAGTATTGGACTTTCGCACTGCACCTAGGACAGGCAAATTCGACCGGAAAAAACGGACAACTACCGATCTCACTCCCAGCGCGCGTTGATTTTTACACGATTCTTTACTTTGTAGATAAAAAGCGGCGACATTATTATCGCCGCATGAAAGTGAAATGGCTTCTTCATTTTACCAGCTCACAATGTGATTCAATTAAATCATCAAACGTAAAAAACTAGTGGGCGGGGTAGTTTTCCCGACTGACGCTTGTTTAGTAAGACACTTTCGCACGTGAGAGAGAATAATTAGTTTTGGCGTCATGTAGAACGTTAATAGTAGTAGAAACTGTAAAAATCATACATACATGAATGAGGAATGGGGAGTCGGGTGAGACGTTTATGGTCGTTTTGCAAACGCACGACATGTGACTGTTGCAAGAAAAGATTAAAAATATGTATTAGGCATTTTAATTTTCCTTTATTTTAAAATTTTCTATTTTTAGAATACAAAAATAAAAATCCAACGCTTTTTAAAGGGTCTTAAAGTGCCACCCGGCTATACTATATATCGAAATATGCAAAAAAAATGCGTATTAAGCATTTTTTACTACATTTATTAATGATATTGATAATATTTTCAATAAAGCAAAGCAACAAATAAAGCCTGATAAATTTGACAGTCAAAAATATTTATTTGACACAAATATAGTATATTATGCAACAAGTGTGGTAAATGACACTTGAGTCACTCGTTTATTAAACACTCGCTTCGCTTGTATCAAAGAAGCTCGTCACTTAAAAAGTTTACTAAGCGTGTTGCATACTACATTTTTTGAACCACCGTTAGTTGGGTACATTTTCGCAAAACAACAGAAACAATTCTGACATGACCGTCAGAATTGGCAAATGTCAAAAGTCAAGCCGTGCGGTAATATCTCCGAAAATATCCGGAAATGTCCGAAGCGGCTCGGATCCGTGGGAAACAAAACGAAAAAGAGCAGTGTATAATTGGGTATTTTACAGAAGAGAGTAGAATTTTTTTACTCTTGCGAAAACACTCACAAAAAATTAAATTAGTGACATCTTAAAAACTATTAAAAACATGGAGAATTGCCATAAAATTATTATTTGTGCAGAGAATTTAATTTTGAATTAAAATAAACTTAAATTAATAGCTAAAAAATGTCAAGATAAAAAAAACAAATTTTTAGATTCTTCATCTTTTGAAAATAATATTGCCGATCTACTATCTATCTATTAAATTTTTTGATATGTCTATTCGTTTGTGAGATAATTGTATTTTAGGTATAAAACAAGGTTAAAAATTATTGCGCAGCTGCTGCGACGTAGTCAACCAAAAATCAGTCACAGATCAAAATGGATAGACTAGGGTTACCCACTTTTTTTGGTTTCATAGGCTCCTAGACCGTCATCCAGTAAACTTTTGCGTTAATAATTAATAATCATATCACTCGTAGTACTTTCACTGTTCCAAACGCCTCGTGTATAAGTACAAATGTTTAATAGCCTAAAATTGCGGCAATAATATAATTAAGTAATTCGTAAAAACAATTAGCCTAAATTTGCCTATAATAAACGTCACTGGCGATTGTGTCACATTTTTTAATTCGAATTCGAAACTTTGTAAACGATTTCGTCCTCCATTTTGGATAACAAAGAATTGCGAAGCGACATATGGACGCGTAAAACGTAAAAGCACAGACCGCCTATAGCGTATACTTTATAATCAAAATGATGCAACATATCGGGCTCATTGCTAATGATGTGCAAGATTTGCCGAAAAAATAACATGTTATTATCGGGAACACTTTCGGATGTAATCTTCTTAAAAATTATGGTTTTCTTTCATCGAAAATCGAGATTAAATATTACGCAACTGCGCGGTAATGACCAGCCACGTTGGGTAAATTTGGGTTGAATTGCGGATTACATCACCGTTTAAATCGCAAAGAATATGTTCCCAACCCCCAAGAAACTCAACAATATTCTGTCCGAGTTACGTCCTGTGTAATTATAGACGCACTTTCAGATGTAATCTAAAGAAATTACGGATTTTTTCTCTCAAATCGTAAATCTCAATTAAAACTTAATAAATGTGATAATGCCACTAAAAAAACACTTATTAAGTTCACGAGGAAATACTTTCGGAATTTCTACGGTGGGGCGTAAAGAAAAAGGCTCGTCGGCCATTTGAAGAAAGCATTAGATTTTGCCGATAAAACGGTAACCTACTCCAATGGGTGAACTGGGGGTAAGTTATTTCCACGTTTGTTAATGAAACATTGACCTGGAATTTTTCGGGCTTAACCTTGCACAACGCGGTGGCAATAATTATTAAAATTTCTCAACAAAGTATATAGGCATTAAAATTTAATGGTCGTAAATAGCATTTCCTTTAGTCTAGTAATTCTCAAATGTCATTAATGCAAAATTAGGACTTTTCATTAAATCTACTTTACAATTTGCAGCGGTATTGGATTGTTTTTAATTTGTATCCGTAAATTACTTTCACAGTTGTCGCTTGATAACAGACAACAGATCGTGATCACAGATTAGTGTGACCATAGCTTAAACTAACCCCTACTAAATAATTCTATATTATAAAATGACAATTGGTTCCTTGCTGTATTTTAGTCATTCGCTGTAGGTTAAAAGGATTTTTGGAAGGAATTCCCTTGTTATGTCAATCTATGAATTAATTTTGGTCGCTATTCAGTGTCATCAAATGTCGAACTTTTGGGCAAAGCACTTAATGAAAAAACCCAATACAAAATTGCCATAACGTCAAAATGACAAACATATGCCTCCTCTTCTTCTTCTTTTACGTTTCAAACTGAGGCAACTCTGATCGAATCATTCGCCCATTATCGTAATGTGCATTAAAAATATACATTACGTTTCAGAAAGTTGTAGCTCCAACTAACGAATTAACTGGCAATGCCTTCTATTATCGACGTTAAGTGCAGGATCAACAGACTATTCGATATTCTTTCTCATTAAAAAGTTTTTTGTAGTTCTTCTTGCTTCTTGGTTGAACCGGAGGGAAGCCTGTTGCTATTGCTATAAAGGAATAGGTAACCAAGAGAAATCGTTAACATTATTTATTTTAAAATTCGAACCGGGTTGTAAGCTAGCTTTGTGGCCAAATAAAGCGTAAATTTAGAAGACTGTTAAACTAATATTATGGGGGAATTATGTGCGTGATATTGTCGTTCGTTATCTGCTTCCTGTAGAATCCGCTGCTTTCGGTGGAAATATTTTAGGTATTAGTTAGATTGTGTCTGTAGTGTAAATTTTAAGCGTTTAAGTGTTGTTTTCGTCGGAGCTGTTTTTTTGTCAATTCATAGATCGTTGGAATCAGAGAATAACTGTTTGTGAAATTAAGTCATGAGTGAGTCTGTATCCGAAATGAGAAATTTCTTGGACACATCCGCAAAGGGTCAGTGCCCAGAGCATATCTTCCCACTTCAGAAATGAAGAAGAATTATTCTCTACCCATTATACTAACCTAGATTTGACTTGTTCTTACAAAATATTCCGGTAACATATTTTCGACCGCTTTCTTGAAAAATGTATTTAAAAACTCTTTCTACGTATCGGGTTGAACGTGATCAACAACCCCACCATCTCTACATTGATTTTTCCAAAGATTCTTTGTTTGGAGTTAGCTACAAATCGAGGATTAACATTTACGTAGATTTGCCTTATCCCGTGCACATGCCATTTAAATTCAACCACGAGGAAGTAGAAGATAGCATAAAAGGACTGTTAAATCATAAGAATGAACGTCAAAAGGAACTGTTTCGTCTGAGAAGTAGATTTAAATTTTCATCAAGAAGTATTGGCGAACTGAAGTTACCCAAATCAAAAGCTCACTACGCTGTCATGCCAGAGGGTTTACTGGATTTTTACAAAAGTAGAAACAATGCTGAAGATTTTAAGGCTGATTATAATCTGTACTATACAGGAGGTGTTCTAGAATATCTCCAAATGGGACAGAAGAACTATTTAATAAGACCCATTTTTAATGGATCACTGACAGCTCTAAATTTAAGAGATTCAGAAGACCAAATTACCATACCTTATGTAGTGCGAGAAGCTGTATGTGGTTTGAAATGCTATCAGATATCACAAAAAAACGCATTTTTAGTTATCAGAGAAAAGTATCTAATAACTGTCTTTAACCTTAAAAAAATTCAAAAATTAGACTTAATATTTAATCAGTCTTATGAAACGGCAGTGTTTGATGCTAAACTAAATAGTGCAAACTTAAATCATATGGGCATTGTTTTATGTAATGGCTCAATACAAGTGGTAGAAGTTGATACAGGGAAACCCATATTTAATTTCCAAAATGATGTGGAAAACTCCCCAAACAACTTTCAACAGCTTGAGTTTATGGATCAAGAAAAACTGATTGTAATGGATGAGTTTTGTTTAAAAATAATGAACTATTGCACTAAAATTGTGCTAAAAACTATTAACCCTAATGTGATACCATGTAACTCTTTGTGCAATTTTAAAGTTTTACATACCACTTTGTTTATCATCACCAGACACTATATTATGAAAGCTGATCTGGAGAATGTAGATGATATTTCATATTTTTCACACACACTAGACTATGCTCCATGCTTTGCTGACTTGATAGATAAAGATGATGATATATTTCTTTGCCTGTCAGACCATTTTAATGATTCTAAAGTGCTTTTTACTAGTCACTCTCTCTACAATCTTCCTCACAGAGTGCCAGGCATTAAAACTACCTTAGAAGAGGCCCGTTTAAGAAACTCTAATATTTTATTGCTTGACAAGTTAGATGAGAGGCTGTCTTATTCGACTGCCGGGATAAAATTTATAGAGTTAGAAGAAAAATTGTTTTTGTATGCTACAAATTGTGTAGGGGAAATATTTCGACAAGAAATATCTCTTGAGAAAATTGATACAGGACTAGCGGTGCAAGTTTTGGCTAATTTTATTACTAAAATTCCAAAACTCAATCCTAAATTGCATGTAACAGATTTTGTAGATATGAGTCATGCGTTTGAACTATTAAAGAATGGTAATAACATAGAGGCTACAAAAGAGCAAAACATGACTAGTAGATTTTTGAGCAAATATGGACGCGTGTATGAAAAACAAAATATAACAAGCCAGTTTGCTAGTCATTTCCTGGATGTTTGGGATAGCGACGAAGAAGAAGATGTCGGAGTATTGGAAAATGTAACGGAAGTGCCTTTCCATGATAAAGTGACAGAATGGATGGACTCTCGGTACAATATGGCAGAAAACACCATTGACAGCGAGCTGGATTTGGATTTCTTGACACATTTGTAGTGTATTTCATACTTTGTGCTGATGTTTCATAAATTAGATGATTATTACTTCTTGCGTAAGTGCAAATTTAAACCCGAATTTTAAATAATTTCATAAAACGGAAAATCTCGCAATCTAGTTGCTTTGGGGTAATAATTTCTTGAAAAACAATCTACAATTATTTTGTAATGATGTGAAAATAAATCGAACTTTTTCCATTGCCAGTTTTTCTTCACTTTAATTAATCTTTAATCTTTAAATACCACTATGACTTTAAAAAAATTGTTTTATTTTTTTTTGCTGCAGAAAAAATGCAAAATATTAAACAAAATTAGTTGTTGTTGGTTGCTCCTGGTAAAACCGCAAAAAAACCTTTACATAAAATGTGTGTTGCCTTGCAGATATTGAAACCTTTGGTATTGCTATATTACTATTTAATCAGTTAATGCATTTAATTGCATTGGTAAAATATTAATTTCTGAAGATTATTACAATATTTTGCAGTTGATAACAACACTGGCAGCCGTGGGCTTTGCCAAACCGCAGGGCTACAACTACCCGTCGGCTCCAAGTGCTCCTAGCGCTCCCGGAGGCAGCTACGGCGCACCACCTGGGCCCCCTCCCTCGCAGTATGGGCCACCCAACGGAGGCAACGGAGGACCAGCGGTAGTCCAAAAACATGTTTACGTGCACGTACCACCTCCGGAGAAGGACGTACCTAGGCCGAGGAAGCCCATACCGGTGGCGCCCCCACAGAAACACTACAAAATCATATTCATCAAGGTAGAATTTTTTTGAGACGAATAGCTTTTTTGTTTATATAGAATTTATATTCTCGCGTTTGGACGTTTTCGCCTGTGCCATTAGTTGTGTGCATCTATAAAATTAAAAATTTAAACACGCCTTGATATGCTCTGAATATGGACGAAATTTTTTAATTTTGTAATACATCTTCACATCTTCTCAATGTAGGACAATGTAAATAATGTTAAATAAAACATGTTATTATTCGCCACATTATTATAATCAGTGGAATTTCTAAATCAATTTCTTGCCATACAGTCCGGTATTTTCTTCTTAGTTGAATTTGTCTACGTCATTTTCACGCTGAAGGGAAACTTTCTACTAAATCTCATACCTACTTTTGAAATTTTTGAAATTCGAAATAACTTCTTTGACTGCCTATTCATATTATTGAATGTTAGAGACCATATCCCTAAATTTATATCCGTCTCGAGGAGTATGAATGTTCTCCAGTTCAGTTTACTCCGATTTTTTCGTTTTACCTCAGTCCTACAGACTTAACTGTAGTGTATTAATAATCTCTAAAAAAATGCGACCAAGGTGTGCAGTGTTTTTTTTATGCATTATTTGTAACACATTGTTGTTCGTCGCCTTATCGGTCCAAGAAATCTTAAGCAACCGTGTGTGTGTCCACATTTTAAACGTTCGTATTTTATTAGTAGTGTTTAGCCTCGAAGCTTTTACCCCATATAATAGTATGGACGGTACATAACATTTTACATAAGAAATACATAGTGGCCAAGTTCCAATGAAGTGAACGTTAGAAGTAGCTTTTTTACTTCTTTACTTTGCAGATTTTAGATTGTATTTGTGAGGTGTTGTTATATGGATGTTTGTTTCTGCTGACTAGTGCAATGAAATTTATATTATTAAATAGAGTAGATATTTTTATTGGTATTCCCCGAATTGCTAAGTATCATATTCGGGAATTCCTTGAAGAGGGTTATAGGTAAATTGGACATCACAAATGCATAACAATTTATTATAAAATACATATTATTAAGTAAGTATTTAAAACATTTTGATCGAATTTGACAATTTAATTCAAAAGTGGGCAATTGACCAGTCAAATGACAATGACCATGGTCAATTGACCAGTCCCGGACTGGTTGGCTGACTGCTATTAATTTTTATTTGTTAATATTTCAATCCATTTCTTCACGAGACTTACTCTAATTTCTTGTTCTTCAAAAGCTTCTTCAAATGTGGCCTGTTTTGTGTTGTGATATTTGCTGTCTAGTGCCAGTATAAAGTCTCTGTGCATCTGATGCCCTTACAGAAGTAGATGCTTCTGTCTTCTTCAGTATTTCCATAAGTTATTTGTTTAACACTATCAAAGCTATCAAAGGCTTTTTCGTAATATTACAAAAAACATGTTTATTAACCTCCCGACAATTCTCTATTAAAACTTGATTTCCCAATAGCACCCAGATTTGAAACCAATGTTGTAAATTCTATTATAGAAAATGTTCAAGAAAATCTGGAGACTATAGTTCATAAGGTTTATTAATCTGTGTTGATTAGATCTGCTTACATTTATGAAGTATTGTTTGTAGTAATATAATATTCTCATCTCATTGATTAATTTTAATATTTTTATAGGTATGTTATCAGGTCCAGTAGCTTTTTTTATTTTTGAACCCTAATATTGCTTTTTTGACCTTATTTCCTTGTATTATTTGAATAAATAGATTTTTCTATGGATTTTTTGCAGAGGCTTCCTGTATCTTCAACTTCTATTTCTTATTTCTTAATATGGCTACGTTTGTAGGCCTGTATACCTCCGCTGCCTCTCTTCTTCTAACCACTTGGCTTTCTCATTTTGATTTGATTTTGACCTGATATGTATCACCAAATTTTTTTAGTCACTGTCATTGCTACCTTCATATTTTTTGCTTCAAATGCCAAGAAGCTATATGAATTAAACGATTCCTACTTTTTTAGGCACCGACGCCACCTACCCCGACCGCGCCCGTAATTCCGGTTCAACCTCAAAACGAAGAAAAAACTTTGGTGTATGTCTTGGTCAAGAAACCCGAAGAAGCGCCTGAAATTAGCATCCCCACACCGGCACCAACTCAGCCTAGCAAACCTGAAGTGTACTTCATCAGATACAAGACGGTAGGGGAATTTGGATTCTCAATATTATTTGTACCGGATATAAAAATGCTTAATTTGTTTCTAGAAAAAGGAAAACGGAAATGGTGGAGGTGGTTACCCTGACAGCGGACAGCCAGAAAATGGGGGCTACCCAGCCGCGTCTCCACCTTCGTCCGAATATGGCGCCCCCAACGGAGGGTCGGGAGGTTATTAATGATATTAACTCGCTCTAAAATATGCCAGCAAGTAAAGATTTATTTTTATAAGAATCCGTTTTAATGTGTAAGAGATTTTGTGATTTATATATTTTTTATACTTTTTTTTGTTACACGCATATTATTAGATTAGTTTTAAAAAATCGGTGACAAATGGAGAGTCTTCCTACTGAGTTAATAAGAGTTAAGCATTTTAAGTGATCTTGTTACTAGTGAACTGCCTTGTGATCTGTAGTTTTTAAAGTTTAATTTCGTTTGGATGTATATAAGCTCTATTTTTGTCTTGGTTTGTATGGCCTTTTGAGTTTCCTCCTACAAATAAAATAAAATTCATTTTTTACTAATCGCGTTTTATTGTATTTGTATTGTAATTTGTAAAGCAACTATAAAAATTTTGCTGAGGAGATCCGTTTAGTATCTGTTCGCACGAAATCTAAAATTTCGTTTTAATCAAAATATCACTCAAAAACGAATGCTTGGTTGAAAAAACTGTAACTTCGTGAAGGCATAAATTATACAAGTTTGTGAGCGACTGTCCATCTATAAATTGAACTGAGGTGGCTTTTTCTTGATGAAAATCCATTTATCAAAATAAATAACTAAAAGTTCAGATTTTCACGAAATTATATATTATGACATGACAATTATTTCGACAACACCGTGTCTTTATCAAATGTGCACATTTGATAGACACGGTGTTGTCGAAACAATTGTCATGTCATAATATATAATTTCGTGAAAACCTGAACTTTTAGTTCTTATTTATTTTGATTCCATCTATAAACCTTTTACATTAACTTGGAAGACAAGGCAGAACTTACCCATATATAGGCACATTCTTTTGCTTACAGTTTTGACCGCAAACACAAGTTTTCCAATGAGTGGACATTTTTGTCACAAAAATACGAAAAAATATGGGGAGGTAAGCCTTGGCTCCATGTTGCCAATAAAATCCGGATTTCAGAGACTGATTTTGCGTTTTCTAAAAATAAATCAATTTTCTAATAAACTGACATAACTATGGTATCAGACTTCGACAGTAGGTCTGAAAAAGAAGTTTTTTTACTTGTAGACGAAGTTGAAGACGTGTGCCTTGAAAGCGTGGCAAAACATGAGCCTAAAAAGTTAGGGCCAAATGGAAATTAGCACATCCGCAGCATCCTCAGCAGCTGCTGTGGAGCCAATCCGTTTGACGAAATTTTTCACAACGTAATTTAATCAATGATCTTTTGTTACTGTCCATACCTAAACAATTTTTCTGATTTTGGGTTTTTTTGTTATTTAAATCGAAATGAACTAAACCTCAACAATTTACTGTTAAGATGTATGCAGTGCAAATATCCATAAATGCAAAAAATATCGAACGCGATAAATCACTTGTCAAGGGCTTGTTATTTTTAAGCGCCCTCTTATCAGTTTATTTTGTAACTTCATGGCTCGCTCTTGTAGGGCCGTCCGAATCTTGTTCAAAGAGGAGTCCTGGTCGACGGCTATCTCGTCTATGGGTAAATAGATGGAGCGAGAGCGTTCAAATTATTACACATTACGCATTTTTTTCAGAAAAATATATATTACATCGTTTTGTTATTTGTATTTTTACGTTTTTCTTATCACTGGCGCCATCTACGTACTACCGTTATAAATCATATATGTAAAACTAACCTGTGAGGCTTTTGTGCATTTTAGAATAAATCGTTATTAAAGAAGTGTTTATTTATTTAATTGTAACAGCCACATCAACAAAATTGAAATTGATATTTTTAATGAAAAAAAAACTCTCTCTCCTCTCCCATTGTTGTTATTAGGTTTGTTTATAAAGAAAAATAATACCCTATCTTTGAAAAATGACTAAACAATTTAAAATCGATCTTTCATAATTTTATTTTTTGCTACTACTTAAGCCTTGAAATTTTTATTAACAGTTATCGCTTATTACACAAAAATACATAAGCAGTTGTATTGTACTTTTGTTGTACCCGTAATAATTTTGTATTTTTTTAATAGATGAGTGATTTCAACTATGATTATGAATATATGGAAAAAGCGGTTTAAAAAGCTTCGCCAATTGTTCAGGCAGTGAAAGCTTTTAAAGTTCGACGAATGACACTGCCTACTAACGAGCGACCAGGGTGGCACTGGCTGAGGACATCCTGAAATTGCTACAAGAGTGTCTCAGAAAAATTATACGTCAGTGTTCAACGGTGACAAAATAACGTTTTTCTTAAGTCCTGGCAACAATCGAATTCTAGTTAAGAAAGGGCAAAAAATGGTTCATCGTACAACCAATTTTGACGAAAAAAAAAATAACATCATTCGTCATGGGAAAGGTATTTCGTACAAAGTGCTGCAAAAAATACATTCAAACTGAGATGCTGAAGAATGTATTCAGGGCTTGTGGATTATTTTCAATAAATCGGGATGTTTTAGACCACTTTGAGGTTAAAACGAAACTGAACAACGTCCCAATATAAAAATATGCACAAAATTTAGATGATTAAAAAATCATTTAACGTGCATTGTACTTGCGTATTTTTACACAAAAGTATTTCGTTGTTGGTGAAGTAAATAGAATAATACGAGACAAGTGAAGGTATAACTTGGCAGCAATGGATTCCAGTCAAACATTTAAGGCCGCCGATATGTATAATTTTAGGTTAGGTTTATGATTACGTTTGTGTAAAGTCCGTTTTACATGACTTGTGTACAGGGTGCTTCAATAAACATATGTCATCGCTGAAGGGGAAACTCCTGATGCAAAAATAAGACTTTTTTATATCAAATTCGGTACGATTCTGCTTCGTTTCGTAGTTATAGGGTGCTTAAGAATTTATGTTATTATATAGATCCAATAAAATGCGAACTGTAAAAGTTATTTATCCTACATATTTTATTAAAAAAAGAGTTTGGACAACATGATCACTGCCATGCGTATGAGTTATCGTATTTAGTAATTTGTTGCGTGCATAGTGTAAGAATATGTTAAGTTTATTAAATATCACGCACATTTAAAATGCCCTTTTGGCATTATAACTTGACTGAATTGAGTGACGCCAGTCGAAATGCAAGCGAAGCAACTATAATTTTTTCCGAACGAAACTGGTAACTTAAAGCATCTCTAACCGCAACGTATTAGAAGCAGCAAAAGAAAATATAGGAGTAGGACAAATTAACCTAAATGCAACAAAAATGTGAAAGCAATGGTTTAACAACGAAATCAGAGACCTAGCATGCGAAAAAAAAAAAGAAAAGCATGTCTGCAATAATGCAGCCATAAGACTCCTAACAACTAACAACATCACAAAGGCGCAAGAAACTATATAAATTATAAGATAAGGAACCCGCAAATATATACTCGAAACGCGGAAAAAACCTATTAATGAATCTAGAAATCTTAATAAAATAGGAGAAAAATGGTCAGTCTACGCAGAACTTACACTGGAGAGAGTAGAGGAAACACGGCAATTGCAAAAAAAAAACTCAGAAATTGCATTGGGAAATTAAAGAACAGAAGTTCCGGGTTATCCAATGAACTCTTAAAATATAGAGTAGAAACCATATTCGAGAATATGATAAAATTTTAGTTACCAAGCATGTACCAGATTAAGGGGATGCGAGTATTACAATAATTATGATATATTTCCCTAACCAACACCTTAAAGAACACTCAAATTGCTAACGGGAATATTCGCCAATAAGATCTCTGAAGAATACACAGTTAGTGAAGAACAAAAGGTCAATAATAGATGCTATTTTCAAAGTCGGACGAATCGCTGAGGAAGCAATTGAATATCCGGCTTACTGTGCTTTACGGACTTGATGAAAGCCTTTGATTGTGTAAGATTAAAAAACTGTACAAAGAAAAAACTAACCTAGCAGAACGGTGAAGATATTTAAAGATATTAACTCTAACAACAAAACCAATATTAAAGTCGAGAATGAATTAACATCGGAAGTACATATCAAACCTGGAATACGTCACGGAGATAGCCCAAGCGCACTTTTATTCAATTTAATATTAATAATTTAATAATTAATAATGGAGAAAGTAATAGGAGAAATAAAAGGTTCTGAAGACGACCTTTTCAACCTTTTCAGTGGCGGAAAGCTACAATAGTCTTCAGTAGTAGCAACGGAAGCTAGAAGATGCAAAATCGTCATTAATAATAAAATAATTGAACAACTTTCCAGCTTCTAATATCCGGTTGTTATTTGGAGAAACAAAGCTATAAGATTGGCTGGGAGAGTACCTATAGAACAATAGAAACGACAATAAAATGAATTGCAAGGACTTCTGAAAAGATGGAGAGGACAAGAATAGACCCAAGGCCTAACTTAAGAAGAAGAAGAAGAATAAGAAGAAGAAGAGGAATCCCCAGATTGACCAACGCATCAGACATTTCGTAGATTGCTTACAACAGCTTTGTTAGATTCTGTGGTGGAGCATTGCACGCGGCGGTTTAATCTCTGTTCGCTCCCGACAGAATCCCATGTATTCGTCCCAAAAAGTTTGATATCGGTTTCCACGGTGTGGATTTAGTGTTTAGTTCGAAATTATTGGTTATTTTTCTTCTTTGTACGTGGTGGTCAATTGACCAGAAGCGAAAATCCTCGACGGAAGTCGGCAATGGGCAAATGATCCTAGCAGTCGCGCCCAACATTTTTTGTGAAACGCATAATTGAATTGAAATTGAACAGCTTTGTTAATGTGCAGATTACCCAAAATAATAGTGATTTTGGATAATGCCCTGTAAATTGGTCAGTTTGTGACATATGCAAACCACATAGGCAAACTAATCTATAAAAATCTGTTTACCTAGTGTATATTTGTGGCTAAAACAATGTTTATTTGAACTTCTAGTGGCTGACCAACTTGCTGGTAGAAACTGCTTCAAGGAATAAAGAAATCTCAAAAATACAATCGTCTTTTTGTTACGTCGGTTAAACAAAATAATTTACTAGTTTTGCGGCCAATACGAAATTGCAGCGTTTCACAATTGATAGCGGAAAAAGATGGTAAGATGGATAAATAGGATGTTATGCGCCTGCTTGAGTTCATTCGAGAACGGCGAGGCTGTGATATCCCTTCGGAAACTGCAGTAGTCGTCGCGACGGCTGAACCGACTGACTGCGCCCAATTAACAATTTAACGCCCTCTCGCGAAATTTCACCGACTTTCCCTTGCGGATGCCGAATTTTTTCCGCTTTTAACTTGTTCCCATGCCTTCATTTTTTGCAAATTGTGCAACAATGAAAAATGTCCGAGAAAATTTCGCTGCGCGTGGATTTTTCAGACTTTGAACGTAAGTTTTTAAAATTATGTTAAATTACGGACCCACGTTATTGTTTTTTGAAATTCCTAGACAACAATATGAGATGTTAGTCGACTTCAATAACTTGAAGGATGTGGAGAGATTGTAAAATCTTTACAAAAAGGTAGAAATTCATTTCACTTTACAAAATCAACTGTACTTTGACAAAATGCTCACGTGTTCATAATAATACTACTATTGAATACAAAAATCTTCACATTCGAAAGGATGTTACACACAAAGTTTGTTAGTATTTATTTTATAGATCATTTCTTTTGGCTTTTAATTTCGTGAGGGTTTCCATGTATTTGAAATTACCCATTGTGTATCGATTACTAAAAGATTTGATCCATCTCGCTGATAGAGTTTTCGGAAATCGAAAATATTTTTACTGCAAAAATGAGTAAAAGGTTCTCAAAATCAATCAGTACTAACAGTCTCTTGTCTGAAACTGTTTTAAACGCGATGGGTGTTATTTTTAGACAAAAAGTCTGGAAAGAGTTACAGTTTCGAGGTATGTAAATAGAGACCCATTATAAATTACAATTTAGACTTGATCTTATTTGTCTTCTGCTGTGTAATTCTTTTTAGGCGTATCGGTATTGTCTTTAAGAGGTACAATTATATTAAACTAATAAAATAAATCAAATATCATATTAGAAAACAACAAGGTTTATTGTCTAACAGGTGTAATGTATTTAATATATATTTAATAACTCTGAATTAACAAGATCTAAGGACTGGTTTACAAAACAGCTTAACCCTTAACTAAGGGAAAACAGTTTTTTCATCTTCTCTCAAAGGCACAGCAACGAAGTCTCTAAAAAAATCTCAAAAAACATTTTTCTAATACGCACCCTATAGGGCACTGTAGATTGTAACACATTATTGATAGCATGTCATGCTCTAATTGGCTCCCACTTGCTTTATGATCTTGGGCCAGGCTCCCGGTGCAGTAAGAATCTTTGGACTACAATGAAGGGTAATTAGAATAATCGCAAACCTCAAATACAGAGAGGATGCCAAGCGCTGATATATGTCGGAGATCGTGAGAAAATAATC